AGAGACCTCTATTATATACCTTCCATGTCTGCTACTTTAATTTACATTTTATGTATCTTTTTGGTAAGTTCTTCTGAATTTTACAAATGTGTCTTTATTTATCTCCCATTTTGCTGGTTCAGTTGTCTGTTCTACCGTATTTTTTTGTTGTTGCTGTTGCTTCAAAAAGAAATAATTGTGGCTAATGTTTTTATTTTAAACAGGGTAGTCCTATTTAATAAATAAATCATTTTCTAATTTAGAATAATGTGAATTTTCTAGAATTTTAATTTTTTAAATGTTTCAGCAATTACATTTATTTTATTTTCATGTCACGATAGTTTTAATTTTTAGTTTGTCTGTTTTTATTTTGGTCATGAAATAAAATTTGCTGATATTTATTACTGCTGCCTGGGAGCCATAGGTATAAAACTCACCCTCAACATCTCATATGTTCAAATATAGAGAAAGTCCACCTATACCTAAATGCGAAAGGCAGACAGGATAAAGGTGCCATTCCCAATGTAACCTCCAGTATTTTGGATAATAAGAGGTATCTCATAGAAGTCTAGAGTCCCAGGACATCCCTGTCCCATGAATAACTATAAAGAATCTCATCAGGGATGGGGAAAACTCTAAGAGAATAGAGCAGAGACTTTCTGTGCTGTTCAGTGAACAAGGAGGATGAGACCTAGAAATTCAAAGCAGAAAGAACAGGGCACTGTAGTTCTTAGCACCTGATGGGACAGAGAACATCAGGGAATGAACTGCAATGTGTTCAAGCATATCTTCTGTGGTCACTGCGAAAGAAGCAGTCGTTTTCAGGTGGCACTTGAAGGGAATTGTGGAGAACCAATGATGGTGCTGTCGTCAATCCACTTTCCAGAATTACCTCTCTTGTGGATTTCGAATCAGAATACATTAGCTATTTAATTATTAATTTAATCCAAATCTAGTTACTAATTTTATATGATATCAGTTCCTCCAACACTGGTTTTTGTTGTTGTATTTTGTTTGTTTTCCCCACATCAGTAGACAATCTTTAACTTTCAGTGACAATTATTATTATTATTTTTTTATCCTCACCCGAGGACATTTTCCATTTTTTTTTTTTTGGTTCAGGTAGAGTGGGAGGGAGAGAGAGGAAGAGAGAGAGAGAGAGAGAGAGAGAGAGAGAGAGAGAGAAACATCGATGTGAAAGGGACACATTGAATGGCTTCCACCCGCACGACCCAACCAGGACCAGGGGCAAACTGCAACCAAGGTACGCGCCCCTAGCAGGAACCGAACCCAGGTCTCTCTGGACCGCAGACCAACGCTCTAACCACTGAGCAAAACTGGCCAGGGCTCAGTGACAACTATTTTTAATATCCTTTCCTAGAAAAAACATTTTTCCAAACCACAAAGCAAGATTCTTTTTTTTAATCCTTACCCGAGGACATTTTTTCATTTTTTGTTCAGATAGAGTGGGAGGGAGAGAGAGGGAGAGAGAGAAACATCGACGCGAAAGGGGCACATCGAGTGGCTGCCACCCGCACGACCCAACCAGGGCCCGAGACAAATTGCAACCGAGGTACATGCCCTTAGCGGTAACCGAACCCGGGTCTCTCTGGACCGCAGGCCTATGCTCTAACCGCTGAGCCAAACCGGCCAGGGCAAAGCAAAATTCTTAGTATCATCATTATTAACATTGTCTGTAAGAGTTTCCTATTGCTACTGTAACAAATTACCACAAACACATAGTATCTTAAGATAACACACATTTGTAATTGTAGTTTAGGATGTCAGAAGTCTAAAATAGGTAACAAATAAAAATAAAAATAAAATAAAATAGGTCAGCAGAACTGTGTTCCTTCTGGAGGCTTTAAAGAATCTTTCTTATCTTTCCAGCCTCTAGAGGCTGCCTACATTTCTTGGCTGGGGCCTTTTGCCCCATCTTCAAAGCTATCCATGTAGTATCTTCTCTCCTCTCTTACCTCTTGTCTCCCTCCTCTAAGGACCCTTGTGATAAATTAGACCCACATGGAAAATCCAAAATAATCTCCCATTGAGATCCTTCATTTAATCACATTTGTCCCTTTTGAATGTAAGGTAATATATTCACAGACATTAGGGCATGGACATCTTGGGGTGGGGGTGGGGGGTCATTATTCTGCTTCCCACAGTCACCATTTATAAAAATCTTTTATGTGACAGAAGCATGTTACCTAATTTCATTATTGCTTAGAGTCACTTTGTTTTACTGTAAAGAAAATGGAGGCCAAGAGTTCAGAAGACCTCTTTCCTAAACTCCAGACCAGTCTATCCAACTGTCTACTTGACATCTCCACTTGGACGTCTAACGCTTCTCAAACTTAACACATCCCAAACTAAGCACTGGGATTCCTCCCTAGAACCTGCTCTACCAGCAAAAATCCCCATCTCAGTCATGGCATTAGAATCATCCCTGACTCTACTTTTCTCACATCTGATCTGTCACAAAATCCTGATGGCTCTACCATCAAAATATATCTAAAACTTGACCATGTCTCACCATTTACATTGCTACCACAGGTCCAAGCTCCCATCATCTCTCCCTTGGATTATTAGAGCAGCCTTCTAACCAATCTTTCTATTCCTGCCTTTACTTCTAATTAATATATTTTCAACAGCCAGAGTGATTTTTTAAAAACATAAGTGAGAGCATGTTACTCCCCTGCTCAAAACACTCCAATGCCTTTCTACCTCATTCAAAAGAAAAGTCAGCTCGATGAAGAAGTAATATTTCTTCAATCCAGGGCTCTGCCCAATGCTATTCAACTCTAACCTGAGGCCAGTAACTCTCCTGGTCTGAACTCAGGACCACTGATCCCTTTAGCACAATGAGGCATCTACTGTCAAAGAGGGAAATCATTTGTCAAACACCATATAAATACTGAATCTTTAGATCCAGGGATGTTTACATTTCTGGATTAAAATCGGTATACTAATGGAAAATAAAGGCATGTTTGAAATTGTTAGAAAAGCCAAAGTTCTTTCTGTAATCTTCACGACCCTACATGATGTAATTCCACCCCTACTCTCTTGCCTTCACTCACTTCAATCCATCCACATTGACCTTCTTGCTTTTCTTTGAACCTTCCAAGTATGGCCCTGCCTCAGGACTTTGCATTGGCGATTTTCTCCATGTGAATATCCTCCTCCAGATATTAGCATAATAAGTGTTCTTACCTTCTTCAGCTCTTTACTCAGATGTTATTATGTAGGAAAGCCTTTCTTAGCTTCCCCGCCTAAAATATCACCCCTATACCTAACATTTTATATTTTCCATTTCTGCTTTATGTTTTCTCCTCAGTACTTATCTCCATCTAGCCTACTATATATATATTACTTATATACTAGGTAAGCATATGTCTGAGTATATAGTTATGCTAGCCAGTCTCCAAAGTGGCCCGCAATGTGTTAGACCTCTTGGTATTCAAGTCCCCTGCTATGTCGAATAGGGAAGACCAGTATAATAGGACAGTTCAGAAAAAATGGCTGTGACTTCAGAGCTAGGACATAAAAGACATTACAGCTTTCACCTTACTCTCTCTTGGGAACCCTAGAGGAAGCCAGTGTCCATGTTATGAAGACACTTACGCCTCTCCCACGTGGGGAGGAAATGAGGCCTCCTGCCAACAGTCAGCAGCAACTAGTCATCCACGTGCGTGAGCCATCCTGGAAGCATATTCTCCGGCCCTAGGCGAGTTTTCAGTTTTGACTGCAACCTCTTAAGAAACTCTAAGCTAGAACCCAACTAAACTGGTCCCAAATTCCTGACCCACAGAAACAAGGAAAGAAAAATTAAGTCGATTAAGCCATGCCTCAGAACGAATGTAAGAGGCATCCTGATTTCAAAGACGTGGAGAAAACTGTGGTTTTGAATTGATGAAATATGACAATATGATGATTGTCATTGTTGTTTTCTCCATATAATCTCCGTGAAGGCAGAAATTTTTGTTGGTTTGGTTCACCGCTATAGGCCCAATGCCTAGAACAAGGCTTACCATATGAGAGAAGATTAATAATAGTTACTGGATGAATTAAGAAAAATTAACTTGCTTAAGGTATATTGTTCAAATGTGGTAGAACTGGTATTCAAACTCAGGTCTTTGATTCCAAAGCACATGCTCTATTGCCCATTCTTCGGGATTTAGTCTATTACCAAGATCCTCGTCTTATTTTTACTCAATTCTCCTCTTAACTAAGAGACAAGATATGAGAATAATAATATATAGCTGAAACTTATGAAGTTGTTACCATGTCTAGGACTATTCTAAGCACATTGTATGCATTAACTTATCTTCACCACACAGTATAAGTATATTGCTGGTTCTATTATTTTCTACATTCATAAGAAAACTAACACACAAGAAAGTAAAGTGACTGATCCAAGGTCTCATAATTATTTAAACCAATTTAGAGTAAATAGTTGTATATGTTCTTTCTTTCAAAATTATCTCAACTGAAAATATTTTTATGTGTCTTATGGTATTTGGTAAATTTAGGGTCTCAAAATGTGTTCCAGTGTTGCATTGTTCACATTCCCTATGAAAAGAGCACAACTTCTATTTGTAGCTAATATCTTAATACTTAGGAAATGAAAAATTCAGTCACACTCGAAATCTTTCTTGAAAATTCTTGTTTGAATTCCTGTTTATGTTACAATTTGTAAATTAGATCTGAATAGAATATGCCCTATGTGAACACCAGTTTCTATGAGTAGACACTTGAACTATAATAAAACCCTCAATGTGATTAGTGCTTTATATACACTTTCATTTAGAAGACACTCACATGGTACCACTCATGGTACCATTTCAGAAGCTCTCAGGGAAGGTATTCTTTCCATTTTACAAACAAGAAACACTGACAGTCAAACAAGTTAAAGTATACTCTTAAGATCACAAAGGTATGGAATGGTCAATTGAGGATTTTTCTAAATCCTAGTCCAGTTCCTCACATTGATCTAGACAACTGCTGGCAGGGTTTATACTGACCTGAGGTAATTAAATCAAGTGCAGCAGGAACTCCAATGAGCCTGGGGAGAAGCTGGGAGCCTCTTGCACCAGGAAGAAGTCCTAATTTGACTTCTGGGAAGCCAACTTGAGCCTATCAAAGTTTAAAGGCATGAGGGTCATTAGAATGAGATGACATATAAAGTAAAGGTGAGCATTCCCCTGGATTTCCCAAACTCTCAAAAACAGTGTTTCATAGAATTCAGCAAGAGTTTCCACAAGGCAATAGATTAAATACAATATTAGTATAAAAAACAGAGAACAAACCAAATACAATAAAGTTCAAATGTAGTTTTAAAAATATATATATATTGCAAAGGGGGAAAAAGTAAGAAAAAAATTTTGTAGGGAAAAGACCAGAAGGAAATAAAATAGGTTAATAGTGGTTATTTCTGAACTATGAGTTTATGGTGATTTTAGTTTATATCTTTATACTTGCCTGTGTATGTTAGTCTATTACAATGACGACTATTATCTTTATCATTATAAAACTAGACTGCTTACAAATATGTTACTATTATAAGACTGGTATCACAGACTTCATTCTACATAGTAGCCCAAATTAAAACTATTTCAAGTTTTACATGGGAATACATGGATTTAGTAGTTTTGTGCTGTTTTCAAATAGGAATGTGTCTTCTTAAGTACTGATAATTATAATAGACCACAGAACTGAAATCTTAGAGATAGAAAATGAAAATTTAAATAAGTATGCATACTTAGAGGTGAGAGTCAAAATATTTAATACCTCATACTTGCCCTAGAGAAAAAGCCCACACACCGAGTCCCACATGGAGCCTCAGCTGTTACCTGTGCATGGGCAATCCTATAGTGACAGCCCAGGGCCAGCTCTAGTCCACCTCCCAAAGCCATGCCTTGGATAGCTGCCACCATGGGCTTCTCGCTTCTCTGCATGTCATCTACTAAATCTCCTAATGTGAACTTAGAAGAAATGGGAGCACTGAAGCCATGGATATCAGCACCTAAGGACACAATGACAACGAAAAGAGAGCTGAGAAAGATGTGGGCTTTGTTACATAACAATAAAGTACCAAATAATTCTTAAGGAATCTCTGACCTCTTTGGACCCATGAAACACTTCATCATTTGGGTAGAGACACAGTAAAAGAACAAAAATTGCCTGGAAAATGTAGATCTGTATAAAAGAAAATCCTCAAATCTTTATTAGGAATCCTGTAATCTTCTAAAATCTGTCTCTCCATATGCTAGGTAGCAATTCTGCCTATAGAAAAATTTAAAAGCTCAGAGAAAGAGAACAGAGATTCTCCTACAATGACTGTTATTCTGAGACTGGGTCATCCCCTTCCATTTTTTGCATGATATGGCTCACCGATCCTACTCACAGCAGTTTTAAGCCATATCTTTGTTATGGGCATGAGTTACTACAATAGAAAATATCAGGGTAAAATGCATACATACTTGTGAGTTATATGTTAATCAACCAGCTTAGAATTATGTTTTTGTGATAGATTTTTGGGGGATCAATAACAGTAACATTTATTGCTTTTTCTAATTGTAAAAATAACATATGTATTATGGAAAATTTGAAAAATGCATAGAATTGTAAAGAACCTAAAGATCACCCCAAATATCACCACAAAGAAATAACAATGTAATATTTGGTGAATTCTTAATCTTTCCCAATGCGTATATGTAAATAGCTTTAGGACCTTGAGTAAGTTTTTTTTTTAATCCTCGCCTGAGAACATTTTCCCACTTTTTATTCAGATAGAGCTGGAGGGAGAGAGAGGAAGAAAGAGAGAGAAACAGCGACACGAAAGGGACACATTGAGTGGCTGCCACCCGCATGACCCAACAAGGGCGGGGGACAAACTGCAGCCAAGGTACATACCTTTAGCGGGAACCGAACCCGGGTCTCTGTGGACCGCAGGCTGACGCTCTAACTGCTGAGCCAAACTGGCCAGGGCTTGAGTAAGTTATTTAACCTTTGTCTCAATACCTATTTGAATGACTGATGTGAGAATTAAATGAAAGTTTACTATAATATACATTTTTATCAGTATTGAGAGCATTCTGTAAAATCATTGTTTATATTTTCTCTAAGTATACATAGTGAGCTCTTCCTCTATAACACTGTGTATTCTTTGAAAACATTAAGCTTGGTACAAGTTAAAAAGTTAAAGTAATGATTAATTATTTCATGTTCAGCCTATTTGTCTTTTTTTTTCTACCTGCTCTTCACTTAATATAAATTCAGGGATCATGCTTCTTTTCACTAACCCGTCATATTTTACACTCATCTATTATTGTTGTTGTTGTTATTATTATTATTAATTTAGGTTTCTTTGGCTCTAGAGAAATCAGATGAATTTCAATCTGAATCTCAGGCCTATTATTCCTATAACTTTAGATTAAAATGATTTTTCATGTAATAATAGCAATTAACATTTACTGGTTAAATACAACAGGGATAGTGCTAAGTTGTCTCAAGTAATTTTCTTAACACTTACATTAAGTAGTATAACAATTCCCATAATACAGGTAAGGATGTTAAGTGACTAGTTCAAACATATGACTAGTAACTTGTAAAACAAGGATCTGGACTTGGCAATTTGACTATACTGTGCATTCTTAAATGTTACACTACCTTCTACTTGAAGCACAAGATTAGTATTATTATTATCCCAAATGCATAGAAATCAAGGCACAGACAAGAACATAGTGACTTCACTTTTTAACTGTCTCTGGCATAGAGAAATGCAATTAATTTTTTGGATATTGTTTTTAAATCCAGCAAAATTGCTAAATTCTCTTATTAATCCTAATAATTTTCTGATAGAGTAACTTTAATTTTTTTATGAACATTATCATATCTTCTGGATAATGAAGTTTGTTTCTTCTTTTTCCAATCCTTATACCTTTTATTTCTTTTTCTAGTCTTACCCAGACTGGCCAGGGCCTGAAATATAATGTCAAATACAAATGGTGATAGCAGCCAGCCTTGTCTTATTCTTTTCTCATAAGAAAATCTTTCAAGTTACCATTTTGTTTGAGGTTTGCTGAAGGTTTTTAAAAGTGAATATTTTAGCCTGATTAAGACATTTTCTTTCTATGCCTAGTTTACTAAGAATTTTTATCTAAAAAGCTATCAAATGCTTTTTCTGCATCTATTGATAACTATGATTGTTTCTCCTTCAATCTTTTTTATTTCTTTGTTGATTTTAAAGAGAGAGGAAGGAAGAGGAGGAAAGAGATAGAAACTTCAATGAGAGAGAACATTGATTGGCTGCCTCCTGCATGTCCCCCACTGGAGTTTGGGCCCACAACCTGGGTATGTGTACTGATGGAGAATTGAATCGGCGACCTCTTGGCGACCTCACTGAGCCACAATGGCCAGGCTCATTTAATCTTTTTAATAAGATGAAATTACATTGATTTTCTAAGATTTAACCAATATGGTTTTACTGGGATAAAAGTGATATATATTACATTTTTATATATGTTGGATTCAATTTTATGACATACTGTTTAAGATTTTTATATTTAGCCCAGGCCAGTTTGGCTCAGCAGTTAGAGTGTCCGCCTGTGGACCAAAGAGTCACAGGTTCAATTCCAGTAAAGGGCACATACCTTGGTTATGAATTAGTCCATGGCCCTGATTGGAGTTGTGCAGAAGGCAACCAATTGATGTATCTCTCTCACATTGATGTTTCTCTCTTTTTCTCCCTCCCACCCTGTCTGAAGATAAATACTTTTCCATTTATCTTGGATGAAGATTTAACAAAAAAGTTCTTAGCCCTGGTCGGTTTGGCTCAGCGGTTAGAGCGTTGGCCTGCGGTCCAAAGAGACCCGGGTTCAGTTCCCACTAAGGGCGCGTACCTCAGTTGCAGTTTGTCCCCCAGCCCTGGTTGGTCATTTGGGTGGCAGCCAATTGATGTGTCCCTTTCACATTGATGTTTCTCTTTCTCTCTCTTCCTCTCTCTCCCTCCCACTGTATCTGAACAAAAAAAAAAAACAAAAAAAAAATTATATCTATATTTATAAATGAAATTGGCCTGTAAATTTGCTTTTTATATTATCCTTGACAGGTGTTGGTATCAAGGTCATGCTAGCCTCACAATATGAGTTGGGAAGTGAACTGGGTTAAATGATGTCTACCTCAATCCTGTGATTGTGACCTTTTTTGGAAATAGGATCTTTCCAAATGAAGTCATAGTGGAACTATCTAGGATCAGGGAAATACAGACACAGGGGAGAAGGCCATAGGAAAATAGAGGTAGAAAGGGGAGTGATGCAGAAACAGGCCAAGGACAACCCAGGATTATCAGCAACCACAAGAAGCCAGAGAGGAAAGGAAGGATTCTTCCCTAGAGCCTTCAAGAAAGAGTGGCTTTGCAGATATTTTTATTTTGAACTTTTAGTCTCCAAAACTTTGACAGAGTAAATTTCTGTTGTTTTAAGTTATCCAATTAGTAGTCACTTGTTACAGCAGCATCAGAAAACTAATACAGGAAGTGTTCCCTCTTTTTTTATTCTCTAAAATATTTGTGTTAGAATAATATTTTCCTTGACTTTTCCATTAAAGCTTGCCAAAGAGGTCATCTGGGGCTGGAATTTGCTTTGTGAGATTTTTGATTACTAATTCAATTAATGGTTATAGAACTATTTGGGTTTTCTATTTTCTTCCTTAGTCAGTTTTGGTGGGCTAAATAATCTTCTACTTATTCATAATATCTTCATTATCTTTGCTAAAGGCTACCCAGTATCTGCAGTGATAACACTTTTGTTGTTTCTTATATACATTGCCTTGCTGTCTTTTTTTTTTCTTGATCAATTTCTCCAGAGGTTTGTCAAAGAACTAACTTTTGACATTGCTAATCTTCTTGATTCACATTTCTTTGCTATCTCATTAATTTATCCTCTTTATTATTTCCTTCTTTCTACTTCATTTGGATCTATTTTACTATTTGTTTGTTTTGTCAGTTCCTTGATACAGATGTTTAGCTCATTACATTTCAGTCTTTTTTCTTTTCTGAATTATATAAGGCTATAAAATTTCTGCCAAGTTTTGCTTTAGCTGCATTTGTCAAGTTATATATGTTGTGTTTTCATTATCATTCAATTCACATTTTTTTCTAAAGTCTATTATTATTTCTGCTTTGACTCAGAGATCAATTTCATTTCTAAACATGAGAATTTCCAGTTACATATGTGTTATTAATTTATTGTTTAATTGCATTATTGTCAGAGAATATATCCTAAATGAAATTTATTAAGACAAGCTTTCATGGTCCAGTAGCTGGTCAATTTTTGTAAATGTTGCATATTTGATAAAGATCTATTATTTTGTGGTTGTTGGGTACATTGTTCTATATAAGTCCACTATGTCAAATCTGATTATTCCTGATGTTTTTCTTTTTTTTTTTTTATGAATTTTTTTTTGTTGTTGTTACAGATATTTTAACTTTTTACCCCATTGGCACCCCCCACCCCACCACACCTCTGCCCCATCCCCGGCTTAGTTGTCCATGTCCATTGGTCATGCATACATGCATATAAGTTCTGTGGTTTATCTCTTCCCACCCCCCCACCCCCCCATCCCCTCTTCTGAGGGATGTTGATTATTCCTGATGTTTTTCTAGGAGAATAATTTTTTGTTGTTGTTAATCCTCACCTGAAGATATTTTTCCATTGATTTTTAGATAGAGTGGAAAGAAGGAGGGACAGACAGAGAGAGAAAAACATCAATGTGAGATAGACACATTGATTGGTTGCCTCCTGCATGACCCAGATGGGGCCAGGGATCAAACTTGCAACCCAGGTATGTGTTCTTGACCAGGAAATGAACCTGTGACCCTTCAGTCCATGGGCCAGTTCTCTAACTACAGAGCCAAACTGGCTAGGGCTCTAGGAGAATAATTTTTCTGCCCTACACTCTAACTACATTCTCTTTCCTATATCTCCTTACTGACAAAGAAATATCAAGTTCTCCATAAATCTGATCCCTTTCTCCATGTCTCAAAGTCACCATCTTGGGTTCACAACCTTAAGTTTTCAAACAGTTGAATAAGCTACTTAATAGTTGGTTTATGTTTGTCATATTATTTTAATATCTCTCAGGCTCAGCCTTCTCACCTGTAAATAGAGATTAGAGGATTTATTGAGGATTAAAATATAATAAATGTAAAAATACTACTATTTTCATTATTAATAAATAAATAAACTACATAGTACTGGTACATAGCAAGCAAAATAAATGATAATTATTATAATTATGACCACATTTATATTTATTTATTGCCATGATTCCAATATCTATTTATTCTCAGGCTATCATTAACATACATTAAATTCCTCTGGCTACTGAAAGATTACATAGGTCCTCATATCCATATGACTTTGTCAAATGGTTTAATATATTCATTTGGGAAAGGAGGAGAGGTGTCACAAATAATCACCAAATCACTATTTCAGATACTTTTGCTATATTTTGTCAATATTTTTGCATCATCAAAGAATAACCCAATAAAAAGTAGCATGGTCACCAAGACAGGCGATTATCAGAAGAAAAATGAACGCCATTTCAAGACTGTGTGAAATAAAAAATAATTTATTAAACATCTTCTGCATGTAGGCTCTGCACCAGAAGCTTTCAGATATGTTATCTCATTTAATCTCACAAAAAAACCATCAAGATAGATATTACTCTATCTACTTTATAAATCAAGAAATTTATTTTTTTAATTTTTTTAATTTATTAAGGTGACATTGGTTAATAAAATTATATAGATTTCAAATATACAATTCTATATACAATTGAAATTCAGAATATTAAAGGAATTACTCAAGTTCACATAGGGTAAAGATATATAGAAAGCAGGTATATACTAGCAGGTGTTACAGCTATCAAGCCTACAACTAAATATCTTACAAAGGTCCAATCCAACATAAAAGAGAGTAAGGTCAAACTCTTCTCTGGGTCACGCTTGTGATTCAGGTCTTTTTCTCCACAGTTTCTCATTTCCACTCAAGTCTCCCATATCTATTACCCACACTATGGTATTATCCACAGGGACAGCTAATGCAGTACTGATCTGAGTCTATGGCTGGATTCCAGACATACCAGGGGAGGGTTAAATATTGGTACCTGCAGAGAAGTTGCCATTTGCTCCACAAATCACAATGGCTTTTACTGTGGGGTCTATTAAAGCTTTCTCTAGTCCCTCTTTTATTCCATCGAAGACAGCCAAACTAAAAGAAAACAAAAAAATGAAGTATTAGTAAGAATTAAATTTCTACCATCTCAGAGTTTTTTCCCTTTCCTAACAATGAAAAATTAATCACATACACAATGGATAAAAACTATAGATACCTATCATTAAGCTTTCACTAATTTGTTCAACAAATAATATATATTGTGAATTAAGCACTGAACTGTATCTATTACAAGTGATTGTCGTAAAGATACAAAGAAAGTGATATGAAAGTTCAGAGAGGGAAGAAATTACTTTCAATTTGTCATAATGGCAAAACAGAAGAAAACTGAAATACTCTAAAAGAAATATATGTGGCAGGGGCTGCAAGCTACCCCAAATATCCCTACCTCCTCACCTTCTTCAAAGTATTCAACATACGGTTTTTAGCCGGATACATAGCTGCCCAAAATAAAGACTACATTTCCCAGCCTGCTATGCAGTAAGGCCAACCCAAGGCATTAAGTTCTGATCAAGGAAATAGAAGCAGATTTGGCATATGCAACTTTCCAGAGGTGTCCTAAAGGACTGGGTATATATTTTTTCTTTTTCTCTCCTCCCTACTGCTGGCAGGAATGAAGAGGTGATGGTCAGATCAAAAGCAGCCTTTCTGGACCAAGAGGTGGAACTGTATATTGAATATGGCAGAGCAAAAGATATAGAGAATTGGGTCCCTGGTGATTGTGGAGTAGCCATACCATTCCAGGACACTGCTATGAAAGAAATCAACTTTTCCTTGTTTAATCCATTATTTTGATTTTTCTGTAACTGACAGCCAAACCTAATCCTAACTAATTTATGAGGTAAAGGTAAAGTTTGGGAAAGAAAGGGCATGTAGTAGATTTTTCCAAGTGTCAGTAGTTGAGGGAGTCATTAACAAAGAAGAGGGTTAAAACCCAGATTGAATGAGTCTGCCAAAGTAAAAGCAAAGACAACTGAGAGTAGATCTGGATAGATCCTCATTTAAGACGTGGGAGAGGCCCAGCAGAGTGATTCAGTACCAAAGGGGCCCCACATCACAAAGGACAAGAGAAAGAATTTGCCAAGAAGCAGGGGATCAGTAAGTGCCAAGGCATGGTGAAGGAGAACCTAGGTAAAGTGCTGAGAAACTGCTTCAAGGAAAAAAAATGATAGAATCAGAGTCTAATCTATTCTGCTGTGGAATTCTGAGTATTCTGGGTAAAATATCTGTTCTTTTTTATTTATTTATTTTATTTTTTATTTTATCCTCACCTGAGGACATTTTTCCATTTTTAATTCAGACAGAACAGGAGGGAAAGAGAGAAAGAAAGAGAAGAAAGAGAGAAACATTGACGTGAAAGGGACACATTGAGTGGCTGCCACCCACATGACCCAACCAGGGCCGGGAACAAACTGCAACCAAAGTACATGCCCTTAGGGGGAACTGAACCTGGGTCTCTCTGGACCGCAGGCTAACGCTCTAACCACTGAGCAAGAGTAAACCGGCCAGAATAAATGTCTGTTCTTTAGCATACAGAGTGAAAAAAAAAACTTAATACAAAATGAAAAACAAGAAACTTTTATAAAAGCTGGATTGTTAAGACCAGCAGCTATGAGTTAAAACCTCAGGGAATAAAGGACGTACTTGCCCTTGAAAAGATCATTCCCTGTCACCTGTTTACTTTTCATCATTTAACCTAGATGAAATCAAACAAAACCTCTTGCCTTCAGCTATTAATTAGAAACAGAATCTGCTTATGAAAAACAGATTCTGAACCATCTGTAATACTGAGAAATCCAAAAGGCACATAGTTCTTTCTGGGTAAATGATAGCTGCAAAATTGGCCCAAATGAGCTTAATCAGTGCCAATGAGAGGAAGCTGGTTTTTCCCATTTCACCCAATCCCTACTCCTTTATTTCTTAGGTTCTTGTTAATTTTGCAAAAATCAAACACAGACAAAAACAAACAAACTGAAAATGGCTGTAACATATACATCTTTACTAGAGTCAAGCCAAGTGAAAGGGACAGAGCCTGGTTGCAATCAAGGTCCCAGAAGTTAAAAAATTATTTTCTCCCCTTAATATGGTCAGGTATGGAGAAATGGAGTGTAAAGATAACATTTCATCAGTGCTGACCACAACTTTTTAGCTTCTGTGACTATAGGAGGTCTTTACTGTGACAGTTTTTTTTAAAAAATTGAATGTCATCAAGTGAAGTAGGTAGCTTGTGACTACCACTTTTTTGAACAAAGAAATCAAAGAGAAAATAGAATACATCAAACTATATATAACAAGTAAGGATAAGTTTTGATTCATGAAACTTTGTTTTGTGTATTTGTACATGCGTGTGTCTTAGGTTGTTATGTAAAACATGGGGTTTCTGTGTAAATTACAGTAAAAAAAAAAAAAGTGTGAAAGTCATTGTTGAAAGGCCTAGTAATCAGGCATGTCCTGTATTTGTAAAGAGGGTTGGCATTAATCTAAATTGAAGGAAACATGCTGCTAAACTAGCAAAGAAGGATTTAAACTATTTGTTTGGGTCCAAATAATATTCAAATAAGAATCTCTAAGTAGGGTAGGAAGATATAATTTTCCACATAAAATTAGAAACAGGAAGGAAAAAAAGTAAGGAGGGAAAGACAAAGACACACACACACAAAAAATGGGAACCTATAAAACTGGATGAACATGCTGGGATACACACTCTACCTAATAGAACTTCAGAAGCAGATAGAAAAAAAAAAGCAAGAAAGTATTTATTTGCAAGTGGGGGGACGTCTTGATGAAGCTGAAATGACTTCTGAGCAGCAGGACCTGTTGGTAGGGGCTTTTAACAGGCCTCTGATTAACAGAAACAATGATAGCTAACATCTGTTAAATGCCAGTGTATAATCTCCAGCACATTTTTTTTCATCCTCACTGGAGAATATTTTTCTATTTATCTTCAGATAGAGAGAGAGAGAGAGAGAGAGAGAGAGAGAGAGAGAGAGAGAGAGAGAGAGAGAGAGAGAGAGAGAGATCAACGTGAGAGGGACACATGCCTCCAGCACAACCCCGACCAGGGCCAGGGATGAACCACAAAGGAGGTACGTGCCCTTGACCAGAATCAAACCTGCAACTCTTTGGTCCACAAGCCATCGCTCTAACCACTGAACCAAACTGGCCAGGGCTAATCTCCATCTCATTTAAACCTCACAACAACTTTAGGAGGTAGATGCTAACATTTCTCCTGTAAGGCGGGTGACAGTGGGTTAAATACCATAAACAGTAAAAATAGTTACAAAAAAGTATTCCTAGTTATGGGTACTAGACTGTGAAAATTTCCCTCTAAAGTTCTTTTTTTAATGTTTTCACGCCCACAACCCAGCCATGTGCCCTGACCTGGAATGGAACCTGTGGCCTTCTTGTGCACTGGTGGATACTCAACCAATTGAGCCACACTGACCAGGCGCCCCCTTCAGTTCTTTATGGGCATGGTTTCCCGACTGAGGCACACAGTCCTAATATCTAATAATTCTAATTAGAATACAGAAAAGTCCAAAACTGATATATAATCATATTGCTGATGTTTTTCTTCGTCAAAACCAAAATAACAAATATTTTGCTTTTTTCTGAGAATTGCACGTAAGTGAACATATCACCCTCATGTGATTTTATTCTTGCAATTCTTCTGTATTGTTAAATGCAATACTGCATATTTAAAATAAGAATATAATATTGATACTAATGATCAAATAAAATCTGATGACAGGATAAAAATTCAGTTAAAATCAGCAGGTCTCCTCATTTCAGTCTTTTTTGTTGCTCCAGCAGCATGTGTTAAGAATTTTAAGCAAAGGTCTTTCTCTATATACTTTATATATTCATTGTAAATTATAATTTCTGCTAATCCTATTCCCTGTGGATGAGTGGCTCTTTCCCAGACTGACCAATCACTACACTTTTTTCAGAGATATGGAAAAACCAAACCTATATAATAACTTCATTAATTTTCATAAAAGCAGCATTAATCTCACTTTTAAAAGTAATGCTTACAGCATTGCACAAATCTGGGTTAGAGAGTTTTTTTGAAAAAAAGGTACTCATGATGATAAAAGAGAATAAAATGCACAGGAGTTTTTCAGAAAATGCTATTTAATAGGCTTACACCGACAAGGCTCTTTTGTGGAAGCACCTCGGTCTTGAGGTTTAGAACAGAGCAGGAGAAATTACTTTGCATTTCTGGGCCAGGGCACAACTCTCCTTTACTTATTGTGTTGGCATTAATGGGGACCTTTATTTCTTTTTGTAAAATGTGAAGCCAGAGATTCCAAAATGGCAGTGGAGTAAATGGAAGCTACACAGACTGTCTCCCAGGACCAAACTGGAATTACAACTAAAATAATAACAAATCGTCGGGAAAAAGCAACAGAAAAGCAGCTTGCGAGGACCATATAACCAGAGACACTGACTCGATCCTGGTAGGATTGCAGAGGCATGAGAGGGGGTCTGGGAGCCCACAGACGGCAGCAGCCTTAGCTATGAGCAGTGCCCTCGGGTTAAACTCCCAAGCAGCTCCACAGCGCAGAGCCGGGACACATGCCAAAGAAGCCACAGCCACTCACCTTGGCCTCCGGCAGAGGAAGAGTGACTGGACTGGAACTGTGTGGGGACACTTGGGATTTGGAAGGCACTCAGAGCTTTTGCTGAGTTGCAGCCATGCAGGACGGTGGCCATCTTGCTCCTTCCCAGGGCTCTGAGGAGAGGCCGTGGCCCCTTCCTGGAGATTCAACCCCACCCAGTGGACCATGGAAATGCAAATTGAGGCTCAATAACAACCGGCATCTACCCCACTCTCAGGAAATCCTCTTACACTGAGCACCTGAGGGAGTTTTTTATTCAACTGAGAACACAAGGTTCTTCAGGTAACCTCGACTAATACCCTCCAGGCAAAAAGCTAGAGGATAACTGAACCATTCCTGGGCTTGCAACTCTGCCCAGGAAAGTAAGACTTGACAGTGGTGTCTGACATGAGTCATCCCACACTCATCCAAACC